TGAGCCTCAATCCATATTGGAGGCTGCAGTCCTTGACCCTCTGCAGCAAGCGCTTCAGGTCCTCCTCAGTTTCAGCAAGCAGGGTTGTGTAATATGCATAATGAATATTGTTAACAGATCTTTCACCAATCTTGATGCTGCATTTCTCCTCATAGAGCCCAGCCTCCCGGATGATCTGTTCTGCATACAGGTTGAAAAGGTATGGAGATAGGACACATCCCTGGCGCACACCCTTCCCAATTTTGAACCATGCAGTGTTTCCTTGCTCTGTCTGACCACTGCCTCTTCGTCCAAGTATAGGTTTCGCATTAGCACGAACAAGTGTTCTGGGATTCCCATGTTTCTCAGAGTCAGCCACAATTTGTTATCGTCCACACAGTCAAACGCCTTTGCATAATCAATGAAGCACAGATATACATTCCTCTGGTATTCCCTTCTTTCAGCCAAGATCCATCTAACATTAGCTACAGTATCTCTAATACCATGACATCTTCTAAGCCCAGCCTGGACTTCTGGCAGTTCTTTGCTGATGTGCTGTTCCAGTCATTTTTTTATAATCTTCAGCAGAATCTTGCTTGCATGTGAAATCAATGATATTTTTCTATCGTTTCCACACTCTGTTGGATCACCTTTCTTTGGAATGGGAACAAATATAGATCTCTTCCAGTCAAGTAGTTGTTCTCCAGATTTCTTGACACAACTTGGTAAGCACATCCAGGGCAGCATCTGTTAGCTGAAATATATCAATTGGTATACCATCTATTTCTGGGGCCTTATTTTTTGCTATTTCCTTCAAAGCAGCTTGAACGTCTTCCTTCATTACCATAGGCTCTTGCTCATATGTTGATTCATTAAATTCTTCTGTGTTTACCAATTTCTTTCAATACAATGACTCAGTATATTCTTTCCATTTTCTTTTGATACCTCCTGGATCGTTTAATACTCTGCCTAAAGTATCCTTGATTATAGCAACTTGAGGTTTGAATTTGTTCTTCAGTTCCTTGAGCTTAAGAAATGGTGAGTTCAACTCTTTTGATTTTCTGACTCCAGCTCCTTGCACATTTCACTGTAATATTTTACTTTGTCATCCCACGCTGCCTTTTGAAATTTTCTGTTCAGCT